ATAATAAAATGATCGAGAATATCCGATGTCATTTGACGACACACCGGAAGATTTTTCACTAAGACTTTTTTTGAAGATTTTCCACAAAAATTTTCAAGATTTTTCACCTGACCTATTGGTTACATTTCTAGAACTGTAACAGAAAACTGAGCGTGGCGGATCGAATGGTGGATGTTTTGCATCGATCACAGCGTTAGATTCTGAGAACTGAGCTGTCTGCAAGACAAGACAGACGCCGGCCGTAGGTCATCTCAGTCAGGGGCAAATTGCAAGTGCCAAAAGCATCTCAAGCCCATCCTGCTACGAGTGGGTGCATGGGAAGGCAGGCGCTCTAGCTAACTGAGCTACTGTAACGGACAAAACCCATGCGTCTAGAAAAAAACAACCAGTTTTTAGCCCAACGCATGATTTCCCAACTAAAATCACCACGAGATCCTACGACAAAAAAACTGTTGACTGAAAGAACTAAAACCCTTGACTGTATTCAGAATGGTTATGAGTGTATATCATACGAGAAAGCCCGGATAACTCTTGGCTTGCCGCAGGGTGCCGAAAGCAGTGACATCTGGGGGTTGTAAAAGCGCGGTGCCTGGTGCCGCCTCTGCTCGGCCAACCTCAGCCGGCCGCCCCGCCGCGGGCTATGAAGGGCGAGGCCGGGTGGTCCAAGACCGAACTGGCGTTCAACACTTCGAATCTTAGCTTTTCTAACTCAGCGGACAGCCTGTCACACTCCATGGCCTGGTATTAGCTATACTTCTTAACATTTCAGCTTTTTGGAGATTTTCTAGAGTAACGGTTTAGGCAAAGTCGATATAATCGTATGTTTCTGAAATTAAAGTTTTCTCGTGACTGTTCTCACATGGATCTCATGCCTACATACATGAGTTCCTGTAACACCGGTATAGCGCAAACATACTACATACGTAGCATAAGACAGGCATAAGCATGTGCCTATTGCCTATACCCATCATTGACAGGTGACACGCTCATCCGCGACATCACGGGTGTCGATTTGTATTCTTTTGTGAGGATCCTGGCCCTCTCCCTCCCCAGTGTTGAGTTGCCTCCCCCCCCCCCCCGCCCCGCCCCGCCCCAGTGTTGGTTTGGCCCTCCAATATTTTTGGCTGGAATATCAAAAGATACGGGTAAAGGATGATCGTAACACAAAGACTATCTTCTCTGATCTTTCTGCGTAGTGGCGTCTCGTACCACTCTTGTAACAATAAGTTATGGTTGCTCTCACCAGACACAAATCGTAACAGCTGAGCAGATTTAGGATGTAACAAATTTCACATACCTAGCGCCATAAGGCACGCAATGGTTTGTGAGGTTAGTGAAAAGCTCTGGAAAAAGGGGATGGCCTAAGTCATTCTTGGTTAACCCCGTCCCCATCCCCGTCGCCAGCAACCAAAAATGCGTGCCGACTTCCCAGGACTGCCATAGCAGAGTGCCATCGGCGCCCTAAGGTGACCTCTAAAGGGGCACCTTTACGTGCCGATCAGAGGAGAAGCGTGCGTCCAGTGCCTGCTATCTGGATCCAACTCTGCATGACTTCTGTGCTGCTTGATGTATGGACTTTTATAAATTACGCAAAGATTAAAAACATATATTGTCTTAATCAAAACAAAGTGGGCTAGCCCGTGAGAAAAAATGGGAGTGGAAAGAGAGGTTGTCGGGCCATTGGTTTCGGCCCCCAATCATTTACAAAAAATTGACGCCCCCTGCGCGACGCGCAAAAACACTCAAAGCTGCTGTGCTCTCTGACCTAAGGTTGACCCTCCATACGGATGAAGGGATCTGCGTGCATTTGTTTGTGAATGGGAAGATGCTATTTCGCGGATGTGCATCGCTCCTAGAGCGACGAGTTCTCGTATCTATAATTAATAGTGTGTGTGTGTGTGTGTGGGTGTGTGTGTGTGTGTGTGTGTGTGTGTGTGTGTGTGTGTGTGTGTGTGTGTGTGTGTGTGTGTGTGTGTGTGTGTGTGTGTTGTGTTGTGTGTGTGGTTGTGTGTGTGTGTGTGTGTGTTGGGTGTGTGTGTGTGTGGTGTGTGTTGTGTGTGTGTGTGGTGTGTGTGTGGGGGTGTGTTGTGTGTTGTGTGTGTGTGGTGGTGTGTGTGTGTGTGTGTGTGTGTGTGTGTGGTGTGTGTGTGTGTGTGATGTGTGTGTGTTGTGTGTGTGTTGTGGGTGTGTGTGTGTGTGTGTTGTGTGTGTGTGTGTGGGTGTGTGGTTGTGTGTGTGGTGGGTTGTGTGTGTGTGTGTGTGGGTGTGTGTGGTGTGGTGGTGTGTGGGGTGGTGTGTGTGTGTGGTGTTGGTGGGTGTGTGTTGTGTGTTGTGTGGTGTGTGTGTGGTGTGTGGTGTGTGTGTGTGGGTTGTGTGTGTGTGTGGAGTGTGTGTGTGTGTGTGTGGGTGTGTGTCGTGTGGGTGTGTGTGTGTGTGTGGTGTGTGTGTGTGTGTTGTGGTGTGTGTGTGTGTGTGTGGTGTGGTGTGTTGTGGTGTGTGTTTGTGGTGTGTGTGTGTGTGTGTGTGTGTGGTGTGTTGTGGGTGTGTGTGTGTGTGTGTGTGGTGTGTGTGTGTGGTGTGTGTGTGTGTGGTGGTGTGTGGGTGTGTTGATGTGTGTGTGTGTGTGTGTGTGTGTGTGTGTGTGTGTGGTGTGTGTTGTGTGTTGTGTGTGGTGTGTTGTGTGTGTGTGTGTGGTGTGTGTGTGTGTGTGTGTGTGTGGTGTGGTGTGTGTGTGTGTGTGTGGTGTGTGTGTGTGTGTGGGTGTGGTGGGTGTGGGTGTGGGTGTGGGTGTGTGGGTGGGTGGGTGTGGGTGGGTGTGGGGTGTGGTGGGTGGGGTGTGGGTGGTGTGTGTGGGTGTGGGTGTGGGAGTGGGTGTGGGTGTGGGTGGGTGTGGTGGTGGGTGTGGGGTGGGTGTGGGTGGGAGTGGGTGTGGGTGGGTGTGGGTGGGTGTGGGGGGTGTGGGTGGGTGGGGTGGGTGTGGGTGTGTACGAGGGCCGCCGCTTTGTAGGTGCGTGGTCAGGGGTCTGGAGAGTGCCGTGTAGCCAACCCATGCGCTTTAGGTGGGACCGAGCGGTCCCCTATGCGCTATTAGGTAGGGCCGAGCGCTCCCCTATGCGCTGTTAGGTAGGGTCGAGTGGTCCCCTATTTTGCATTTACAGTGACATATGACGTTGTATACTTTGACTGGAGCCAAATCATGTGAAGGGTTTATTTTTACATCACCATAAAGGATGTAGCTGGACTCTGGTAATATATGTGAAGTTTGATACTCCACTGAGATGCTTCCTTGGACAACTGCGGTGGGCCATTCTTGGCTCGCCTTACCTCCTGGTGTACAAGGGCCATGCAGAGCAAGGATTTTTCGTCGGGCTTTGTCACCATGGGATATCATGTCTTTTAACTAACAGGTGACACGTGCTTAGTGCGCAGGTGGCAATTGCTGTCAGCTAGGATTTGCTTGGGTGTTGCTTAACCTACTGGTGCACAAGGGCCACAACGAGCAATGTTTAAGGGCACAGTGTTTAAAACGTCCGTATAACACTGGTCTGTACCTTCGGGAAGCATGCTGTCGCCGACCAAGCATTTACCGATGTCAATAAGCTTTCGGTGAACACTGGCTGTAAAGGTTTGTCTGAAGCGTTGGTTGATTAACGCCAAAAGTGCTGATTCTATTCCAAGAACTTTAGCCGGCCGTCAAACTTAGGCCTGATTCAAGTTCGAGTTTGGCTTGAACGTGTTCAGAAACCGTGAGATCTTTGATGACCACCAAAAAACCGTTTTGACTTGTATTTGGCTTGTTTCTTCTGGCAGTTTGTGCTGGGAGCATGGATGATGTGTGATATACAATATATATATATATATATATCTATATATATATATATATATATAGACAGGTAGATAGATAGATAGATAGATAGATCATACATAATGGGTTTATGCGCGATTAAGCGTGGACTCAACGCCTTGAGCAACGGCGGGTAAACCCCAACCAAGCCAGGGGCAGGAGTGAGATCCAGCTCCCAACCTAACGATTGCGACCGGAGCTGGACTGGGAGACGTACCCTCGGGAGAAAGGTGGCTCACATAGGGCAAGTAGAGTCTGTCGAAGTTGTGACTGTGTTTACAAACCACGATGATATTATTGCTGTCTGCAGTGCAGACGGCTCAGCAGGCGACGCTGACTAATTAAATCATATGATTTAATAGGTGACTGACAAAAAATGGACCAATAGTCCCTGAACGGTAGTGTGTTAAGGGAGAAATCAGAGCCAAATGTTGTGGGAAAAATCAAAAAGTAAAAATATATTATTGAGTATTACAACGCCTCCAAGGCATGGGAATATCATATCGAGCCTAAAAAACCCTTACGATTCCTAAAACAGGACCTCTTTAGCGACAGAAGGAGGCCATCTTGGTTGAAAGCGCCCCTCTATGACTCGATTTTCCTTTTCCTAGGCAAAATCTTGACTACACCACTGCCGAAATCCAACACGTCATATACCTGTGCAGCATGATGGCTTGCATGTGTTGTGTTGAGCAGAAGACGAAACAAAAACACGAAGTGGCGTCATGAAGCTGCGAGACTTGCCGGCAAGCTCACCTCACCGCCCGTATCGCTATCTATCGGCAAAGCTCCGAACCGTAGCTGCAGTCGCATGACCGCAGGCGGCTGGGAAGAACATCGGATCCGACCACTGGCCCGGTCCAGTTCAGAGCACCAGAGACCAAGCTGAACTCGGAATGGAGGGATGCGTGAGACCCGGCCACAAGACAGCGGACAGAATGGCCTTCCGTGCTTCTCCCGGCGAAACCGGAAGCCGTCAGCAACTGACCGTACGCTCCCATTCCAGCAGTTCATTAGATAGAAAAAGATACACTTGCCTACCGAAGGCATTACCAAAGCTGCCAAGATGGCCACGCCTACATAAATGGGCGTGGTGGAAGATCGCTCCGGATTCAAAAAGCACCACGGAGCAGCCAGGCAGTGTAACGATGCACTGCTACAGTTCTATACCACCCAACAGCTGGCCTTGAAGCTGCAGAAGAGGTCCAGCAGGCAGGGGGGCACCTATGCAGGATTTCGTGGCGGGGCGGCGGGCACAATTGCAATTGCTCCCATGAAATACATTCAAGCGCACGAAAGGTGCAGGGAGTTTCTTGCATGATGTGTTTGCAACATGGCAAGTTTTCAATCTATTGGTTTTACGTGCCTGCCTTGCTGTTTTGTTGTTGGCATTTATTCAAGTGTACCAGTGCTACCGCAGACCAGCGCCAAGTACATAACAACATTTGATAAGGCCCGCCTCGGCACACCCCTGGAACAAGCGCTTGCTTGTCTAGACCAATGTTACTGCAGTCACCAACCGTGAGTGGACATCGCGCGCCCTCTAACGCCACACCGGAGTGGAACCGACACAGACCACCGGGCGACGCCGTCATGGTATTGGACGGGCAGCGGGAAAAATATCTCCCGCTAAACCTCCCGCATGATACCTTTTCAGGGTTTACTGTAAGAGAAATCACTGGGGAGAGATCTGTGCCAGTCGAACTCCAGGTAACATGAAGCAAGCGTATTTTGCTGACCCTGCTTTCATTCCGGCAGTTGCATATGCAACCTTCATTTTTTAGCTGTTTTGTTTGTTTGATTGCTTGTTTTGTCTAGCTAGAACCAAGCGATTTTCGTAAAAACAAAGTTTGGATCCCGGCCTGCAGCATGAGATCGGCACCAATATGGAAGTGAGCAGCATTTCTGTACTAGCTGTGTTTTCCAACGGGCTGTCTTATAATGGACTACCTACAAAAATGTGGGCCTGTTTGTATGTCTGTAAGTACGTTGGTCTTATTTTGCTTACTAACTCTTGTTTAGGTAAACTCTTGTTTAGGTAAACAAAAGGCAGTAAGGATCTGAAATTTAGGCTGTTTCAGTTCGGAGCATTTAGGATTATCATTAATCGTACGCGTGATGAAACATATCGAGCGATAGTCAAGCCGTTCAAAAGATGTTCACTTTGCTGTGTGACCAGAAATGAATCTTGATTTTTTTTTGTAAGGGGCGGCACCATCTTACGTCAATAGCCAAAATATACGATATGCAATATCGCATATTTAACATGATTAAGAGGATTATGTGTAAATAAACTATTCAGTGGTGCTTGACGCTGCTGGAAATGTAGCAATGGTCAGTGCTCGACACACTGCATTGTGCATCAGACTGAAACTGTGCGGCATCGAACCATTGCGGTAGTGGTAAAATAGTCAGAAATGCGACGACAGAAGTTCAGACAGCATGACTGTCTTGTGTTCCCGACATGCAAAAGATAACGAAAAGGTGATAACGAACCGATAATCGAACATAGGCCGTCGTTTGCACATTGCATGGTTGAATTTTCACGCCGTTTTAAAGGGAATGTTCAACATTGGAAGATATTGAGGTAAGCACCAGACGTGATGGGAAAAGCTTACTTGTAACTACTGGTCAGCTTTCAGGATTCAAAAACGACCCTAAGCAGCAAAATTTCAAGGTTTTTAAATTGCGCCCCATTACCTCATCGTTTGATGGCGCCATGGAATGGTTTTGTGACGACAGTAATACTTGGCAGCATCTGGCAGCCAGACACAAAGAATACCTCGAAACGGACGAAAGCTGACACAGGTCGGCCGTTCTTGTGTGCGGGCGCTGTGTGGGGTGGCGGATTGGTGGATAGTTTGTGGATTTTTTGTCTTGGTGCCGGTCGTTAGAAAAGTTTTGGTGGACTGTTTGACATACGCGGCGCAGTGATCGTCAGGTTTTAAGGAAAAATATTAATCAGTGCTCTAGTCCTGACATTGATATCACGTGATGTGCACAGCAGTTACTTTGTTATTGGTAGCTGGAAATGCAAAGACGATATTGCATGCAAAAATTAATAAATCTGTAACAGTGTTGTCAGTTGATTGTCGAAGCATTGTTATTGTCGAAGCATTGATGGTAACGTTGAGCTACCAAAAATATTTTTCTTGCTTAGGATTATTTATGCACTTACTAGTTAACCCTGATATAACCACTGTAGTGCGACACCATTCTCACTAGTGATAGGCCTTTGACGTTGTTAGATCGGTTTTTGCCAGTCATTCATGAATTATAAAGTGATATCTTAT